CATATGAATATACTAACCTAAAAACTAGAAGTCAAGTCAATAATTATTGCAATTTGTTTTTATAGTAGCAAACAAAAAGTGTCGAAAATAATTTAAATAGAGTAAGAGTATGTGCAGTGAATCACAAAATTTTCTTTTAAAATATTGGTATACTTAATGGCTTCAGGATAAAGAGGGATAATTCCCCTCGATCCCAAATCATTGAGGCCAATTTCTAGCCATGGAATAATAGCGCGCGCTATAATGGCTTTATTCACACCACATATATTAATTAACAAACAATAAATTATAAAAGAAACAAATGATCAACTACAGAAAAAATAACTGAAAGTATTTAAAATAACGGAGGTGTACCTAGATATACTTGTAAATGAAAACAAAGATTATACCTACCTAACAAATGTTAAAAAATTACAACTTCAGCATTAATGCACAATGTTAGTCTTCTCATTAGTTCGACAATACAGGCTCGACTTAGTGTGATTTAAGTAAAATAATAATAATAAAATAATATCACACACATTGCATATTGAACTCGACATAATATGTTTCAAATAAGTAAATATTGGAAAAAACTTTATTTTACAAAAATTACTCAAAGTTTAACGATCTTTCAGATGGACTGCATTTTCAAGATCCAGCAATCAAGAAAATTTTAAGTACCACCATGCCATCCATGCAGAAAGATTTGAACTAATAATTCTAACTGCAATTTGGACCCACTCCAGGGGCCTAATAACAATAACACGTTTCCGGAACTAAAATAAACTTCTCCATTTCGGAGATGACAGCGGGAGTGTTAAACACGATGTATATATAGCACGCAAAAATAGTAAAATGTACAAAGAAATTACTAAAGATTAATTAATACAAAAAAAATTTGTAATACACAATACACATATTACTTTCACTTACTATTTTTGACGGTAAAAACTGCATTAAATATATATTAACTTTATAAACATTACTTGAAACTATGCTTTCATAACTTTAGGAGGCATCAATGTTAATTTATTTAAATTTTATAGAAGAATAACTTTTGATGTTTTTATGAATCCGTTTTCAAGGGAGATCAATAAAATTTAATCAAAGTAAAATAATTTATTAAGTATTTATTATATGTACAGGGTGATTCAGTATATTTTGCCCCCCGTTAAACTTTTTTGTTTTAAGTTATAAAAAAATGTTAAATATATAAGTTGCACGAGTTTTTATGAACTTTTCGAAAATTATATTTTTACATATTTGGATAGAACGTTACCTGTCGAACATAGTCATGTAGGGTTTGTTGGGTCCATCGCTAACAATAAGCGAGATACTATTAAAAAACAAAAAGAAGATTTTTTATTAAGAAAATGATAAATCTTGTAATTGTTAGACCTCTTTCAGGCATTTCTGCCTTTTTTCCAATTGAGTAAGGATTTATAGATTTTTAGTTATAATATATTTTGATAGATCGGACATTGATACGGTCCAAAATGCGTATAGGTAATGTAACGAAATCTCAATAATTAGGCCGTGAGAGGTCTAATTACTCATGGACATTATATGGTAGGTCGTGGCAGTGACAGGTAGTAATGTCTTGACAACATTGTTATTGATTTACAGTATGTATTATTATTTAATTAAAATACGTTATATAGAAGTAGAAAATTATTTAGAATTAAAATAGAGTATGGAGAAGGACTTTGCTCTATTTTAATTCCTATAATATTTCAATTTTCTACTTCTGTGTAACCCATTTTAATTAATAATACAAACTGTCAAACAATAACAATGTTGTCATAACATTACCTGTCACTGTCACGGCCTACCATTGTCCGTGAGTAATTAGGCCTCTCACGGCCTAATTAGTGAGATTTAGTTAAAACTACCTACAGCAGTTTGGACCAAATCAATGTCCGATCTGTCAAAATATATTATAACTAAATCTGTAAATCCTTACGTAATTGGAAAAAGGCAAAAATGCCTGAAAAAGGTTTAACAATTACAAGATGTCTTATTTCCTTAATAAAAAAACCTTCTTTTTGTTATTTAATAGTATCTCGCTTATTGTTAGCGATGGACCCAACAAACCCTATATGACTATGCTCGACAGGGAACGTTCTATCCAAATAATTTCACATTTTTTTATAACTCTTAAAACAAAAAAGTTAAAGGGGTGTCAAAATATAGTGAATCACCCTGTACCTACTATAACACAGAAATCACAAAATGAATCAAATTAATTCGAGTATAAATAAAATCAATATTTCCAGAAAAAAGCTTATTCCAATCATTATTATTTTTTACCCGTACACTTATGGATTTCCAGTACTTTTTCCCGATAAAAAGATTTTTTACATGTTTCACAAGTTACTTTTTTTCTAATTGGACGTTTATGTTCTTTATAATGATTTTTATTATCCATCATTTTTTCGCAAACTACACAAAAGTTGCGGAATTTTCGACAAAAAGCTTCACGATTACTGTCGTCAAAAGGTGCATTGATGTATTCTAATCTCCACATTGTATCATTGTCTATTTTTAAAGTTTGTTTTATTTCAGACTTTTCCGACTCAACATTTTTGTCTTTACTCTTGTTCTGGGTCACCATAACATCTTTTTTCACTTTCTTTGTTCTTTCAGATATTATTATTTCGCTATCCTTTGATGTGAACTCAACCTCACTAATCTGATTGCTAGCTTCTGCTGTCCTACCGCATTTTTGCCCTCTGTTTTGCTTATCCGAACTACTATCATTAAGTTTTGCAACGGCAGTAACCACAATATTCGATATGTTATCAATTTCCATACTGTCATATGGATAAATTGTAACATTTTTGTCCCTACTCCTGATTTTTGATGCTGAGTTTTGGGCCACCGTAACTGATAACGGCACATAACTCGTATCCTCAGAAAAATCAACCATTTCTTTGTCGCTGTCATCTAGGAAGATTGTTAACGATGGGTGTTCGTTAAAATTATTCTTTGATGGTCCCGGTTCACACGGGTCAAAGTTGCATCTGGTCGAGTCGCCGTCACTGATATTTTGGGACCTCATGGCAAAGGGGTTTATAATTTTCTTCCCACGTTCTACAAGGAAATAAATTAATCAATTCTTTATCGTCCAAGCAATTTAACCCAATTGCGAGACAAATACGATTTAACTATAACAACCTTTGAAATTTTGTCTCTGGATTTATATATTTTCAACTGACCTCTTTTCCTTGGAGTTGACGATGGTAACCACTTTGGCGACTCTTCATTATGCAAACCTTGGCCCTCCTTAAATAGATACAAATAAAAATTATTAACAAAACTTTATTCCACAGCTCTGACAGCAAAAGTACTTACAATATTCTGAACTTCTGTTTGCACAGTGATGTTTTGTCTTAAAGTTTCTATTAACACAGGAGATGATTCTTGTGGTGTATTAGTCACATACACTTTTCCTTCTGAATTTATCTAAAAGGTTTAAATACATAAGTTTTTTGTTAAGTTCAGAAGCAAAATTTAGGTACCCGTAGATTATCAAACCTGTCATAGTTCAGGCCCCGTATTTGCAACTTTTTTGCAATTCTTAGAAGCGAGGGAAGAAGGCTGTTAAAAACACTTATTTGACCCTTATACATGAATTCCGATAAGAGCTCCATATGGATTTTTGGAATGTCAACAAAAACAATAACAGGATGAGGCTCTGCCCGAGCAATTAAAATATTTTCGAAAAATTCACTACATGCAGACAATACCACTTGATGGGCCGTAATAGCCTCCCCATCACAGACTAACGTCACGTTTACAAAACACTTTTTGCTCAAATACTTTATTAAATTTCCACAAAGAGTATCTTTATAATTTTCAAACTGAAAAGAATATTTTGGTTCTTCAACCTCCATATCCATATATGATTAAAACTATTGCAGTATTATTTCTTTTAAAATTCAAATCACTTCAATGAAAACCCGAAAACGAACACAAAAAAACATAGATAAGAACAAGTACACAAAAACTTGGCTTTGATAAAGCGACTTACACACGAGATAATTTGCGGAGTCCAATCGGCAGAGACCCTGCAGAATTAGACTAGGCGGTATCTGTTTTGGTTTGGGTGAATCGTATATCCACGGAGATTTTTGGCTTTCAAATATCACTAGAAATGAAAAATTTTCTATGCGCATAAAAAAAAACGTGGGCTTAATTTTTGGCGGCACAATATGTCAAAAAAAATTCGAAAAATGTCATATTTTTCTTCCTATTTAATTATGTATCTTTTTAAGTTGATTTTAGGCGAAAATTGCAGAGGAAAAAAAAATGTTTGTAATTAAATCTTTTTACAAAATATGACTAGTTACAAATCGAATGAATCATGATTCGAAAAAATTGCCAAAAATGGGGTTAAAAAACATTACCTTTTAGGGATTTTTTTTTGGGGTCTTTAAGATGGGTATAGGAATAGGACCTTATTCATACTTGGCTCAAGAAAAGTTCCTGTTACGTAGAATCACATCAATTTTCATCACATCATATTTATATAATATGTGTCAAAACGGTACCGCCGTTGTATCACTACAATTATGAGTGGAAAGGTGACATTTTTGAAATTTATTTGCTCCTTCGATTCATTGGTAGAACCGATTCATGCGTCAAAAAACATGACAAAGTCTGTAACAGTGTAAAATTACAGTTTACCAATAAATTCGTGAATCAATTCACGAGGAACTTCGTCAATTTATTCATGAGTAAATCGTCAATGTAAGACAGCTATTAGCTAAGATCCTGGTCTAAGAAAAATATAATTAAATATCAAAAGCTGGTGACCAGTAATACGACCAATTAATGAAATTGCCTAATGATTTCAATCCGTTTCTTATGCAATTTAAAATATTTTTATTTCATTGTGTGCGAGTTTTATGAATTTAAAAATAAAAAATTAACTGAATTTTGAAAATTTCGATCAACATTATTTCACTTTACATATACTGATCTTGTGAAAGTTGATGCAACCAATAAAACCCAAATTTAAGAAAAATTAACCTTTTATTTCAATTAGCATTTGAACCAGAAAAACAACTTACTAACAGACCACACATAAAAATAAATATACAATATTTAGCATTGAACCAACAGGAGACTTGATTATGTTATCAACAAACAAAAACAAATATTGTTTTTATATATGATACAAAACTAGGTATTTATATTGTCAGAAATGCTGATTCTTGCATATCCCGATCTCGCCGCCGCGCTGGCCGGGCCAACTAATATAAACAAATAGGAGACCATGACCTAGACCACCACCGAGAGGAGAAACAAGGAACACTCGGACTGCAGATTTAACTACGAACAGTCGCATAATTGTCGGGCTATTAAAGCTGTAATATTAAGTGAATATAAAATTATTGGAATTCCGGATTTTATTTTAATATTTCTTACAATATATATAATATATAAAATATATTCTTATGGCAACATTTAAATGCAACTTCTTTGGTTATATTTCGATACGATGTTTAATCGACTTCCTCGATGGTTGGTCCTCCGCTTCCGCCGTTACCACCGCTAGGCATACCACCGGGCATTCCTCCAGGCATTCCGCCAGGCATACCACCAGGCATTCCTCCACTAGCGGCACCACCTCCATAAAGTTTGGACATAATAGGGCTGCAGGTGCGGGTAAACTCCTTCTGTTTATCTTCGTACTCCTCTTTCTCCGCCAGCGTGTTACTGTCGAGCCATCTCAGAGCTGCCTCGCACTCCCTCTCCACCGTACTCTTATCTTCAGAGCTCAACTTGTCCCCGCAATCCTGAGCAGCCTGTTTCACTTGGAAGATGTATGCCTCCAGTTGGTTTCTAGCTGAAACCCTTTGTCGTTGTTTCTCGTCTTCCTCTTTGTACTGTTCGGCTTCTTCTACCATTCGATCGATGTCTTTCTGCGATAACCGACCTTTGTCGTTCTTGATGGTTATGTTCCTCTGGTTGCCGGAGCTGGTGTCCTTCGCCGAGACGTTCAAGATGCCGTTAGCATCCATGTCAAAAGTAACTTCAATCTTTGGAACACCTCGAGGTGCGGGAGGGATGCCCGTCAAGTCGAAAGTGCCCAGGAGGTTGTTATCCTTCGTCATCGCTCTCTCTCCCTCGAATACTTGGATGGTGACTGCTGGCTGGTTGTCAGCGTAAGTGGTGAAGGTTTGCGTCTGCTTACATGGAATTCTAGAGTTGCGTTCGATGATTTTCGTCATAACGCCACCAGCCGTTTCGATACCCAGTGAAAGTGGGGCGACGTCAACCAGTAAAACATCTTGGATCTTCGAGTCCGTCGAGCCAGTTAATACTGCAGCTTGGACAGCTGCACCGTAGGCTACAGCTTCGTCTGGGTTGATGGAAAGATTCAGAGACTTGCCGTTGAAGAAGTTCTGCAAGAGTTGTTGGATTTTGGGGATACGAGTGGAACCTCCCACTAGGACCACATCGTGGATCTGCCCCTTGTCCATTTTGGCATCATTTAAAGCTTTCTCGACTGGTTGGAGGGTACCTCTGAAAAGATCGGAGCAAAGTTCTTCGAATCGGGCTCTACTGATCTTCGTGTAGAAATCAATTCCTTCAAAGAGAGCGTCGATTTCCACTGTAGCCTCCGTGCTTGAAGAAAGTGTACGTTTCGCTCTCTCGGCTGCCGTCCTCAGTCTTCTCAATGCTCTAGGATTGCTCCTCATGTCTTTCTTGAATTTACGTTTGAATTCGTCAGCAAAATGATTCACCATTCTGTTGTCGAAATCCTCTCCACCCAGATGAGTGTCGCCAGCCGTGGCTTTCACTTCGAATAGGGATCCTTCATCGATAGTTAGGATGGACACATCAAAGGTGCCACCACCCAAGTCGAATATGAGTACATTCTTCTCTCCCTTCAGGTTTTTGTCTAGACCGTACGCCAAGGCTGCCGCAGTGGGTTCGTTGATAATTCTCAATACGTTAAGGCCCGCAATGGCACCTGCATCTTTCGTAGCTTGCCTCTGCGAATCGTTGAAGTAGGCCGGCACGGTGATGACGGCGTCTTTAACATCCGTACCCAAGTAGGCCTCGGCGATTTCTTTCATCTTGGTCAACACCATGGAACTGATCTCTTCGGGAGCGAATTTCTTAATTTCGCCCTTATATTCCACCTGGATCTTAGGTTTGCCGCCATCGCCGACAACTTTGAAGGGCCAGTGTTTAAAATCTTGCTGGATTTTCGGGTCGTCGTACTTGCGGCCGATGAGCCTCTTGGCGTCGAAGACGGTGTTGCTGGGATTCATCGCCACCTGGTTCTTAGCGGCGTCCCCGAGCAGACGCTCCGTGTCCGTGAATGCAACATAGCTGGGCGTCGTTCTGTTACCTTGGTCGTTGGCGATGATTTCCACCTTTCCGTGCTGCCACACTCCGACACAGGAGTAGGTAGTTCCCAAGTCAATTCCAACTGCTGGAGCTTTCACCATTTTGATTTTTTAAATAAGTACACACAAACTCTATTACTTTTTGGATTGCTTCCACGCAAAATTCACTCGCTTTGAGTAAACCCTCTTTGCTCGTTTATCTATTCACTGTTTTGAATAAACTGAACTCCCGCTCGCTGTCGCTGCTTTTATATGAACGGACTAAATTGACACGAATGCTCCCGGCTTTTCTCGAACATCTAATCGATTTGTCTGGAAGTTGTCCCTCAACTGCGTTTTAAAAATGTTTATTACTTGCCTTGCTTTATGTTTTATGTATATTTTCCTTTATTTAGGACTCATACATTACAATGAGCAATGTATTAAATGCATAGGATTAATAAAAAAAAGATTTTTATGTATTGATGATCAACATGATGGTACAATTTCAATTTACTGTAGAAACAAGTTACCACTATTATAAAAATAAGCCAAATGGCCATCACTTTTTGGTATTTACCCATTTATTAGGTCGTCGCTATTGAATTAACAAAATGTTTTACTATTTTTGAAGATATATAGCGTGACTATTCCCAAATGTAATAGGCAGTGATTGTAAATTGACTAATTGACATCAATAAGTAAATACCCAGGTATCTATGCCTATTTTTAGATAGAATAAAAGTAATAAAGTATGGATCCATTTATGCCCACACAAAATACAAAATTTAGTATTACAATATTTTCAATTTGCGATGTTTGTAAACAAACACACCCACACTAGTTGTTTGTTGAAAATGTTCGCGTTTGAAACTTTAATCTTCCATCCTCGATTGGAAATAAAAATCACACGCATTTGCATACACGATTTTTACACAAATGTACGAAAATCGTTTTTAAAAAGTTTTTTGTATGTTTAAGAGAAAAAATACCTACGTGTAGAACTCTGATCTAGACTTCAGAGAAATTAAAATACAAAATTTAATATGATTTTCTTATTTTCCACAGCAATTTCCAGAAAACTCCTCATAATCGTTTTGTCATAAATCCAGGTGTTAATTGAAACTCAAAAGGATCAACGGTCTCTATGTAATCTCCAGGTAAAGCATCCTACAATCCTACATAAGTTTCTTCTCGAAGGGCGGTTCAAGGTTGTTTTGGAATGAGAAAATCGATAATGCGTGGCTGTTTCAGAACACGTACGCATGGTTTACGGAAGGACAAGAAGCGAGGGGAGGAAGTACCCCTAAAAGCCTACAAACACACAACGATGTTTTCGGTTCTTTATCCCTTGGCCCTCCGTATATCCCTCGAGAAAGATCTGGAAGTCTCTACGGATGGTATGAGGAATATGGACCTTTCGTTAGTTATTTTCATGGTATACAGTAAATATTGAACATAAACCCAACAATATTTAAATGAAAACTAGAGCAAATAATATAAACAAGTGAGATGGACAACTGGAATACCCTTATTTGCTTAAAAACGATTAAGTATAAAAGTATATAACCTATTCATATGTATCTATTCGTTTAAACTTTAAGAACACACACATCCTGTGTATTCGTTTATACCCAATTCAAACTTTTATTCATAACTTAATAAAAGTAACGGCATCATTTTTAATATCTCTTCCATTAGTTACTTACAAAGTTTTTATATTAACAATACCTACCTATTTTTTTAATCAGTTCAAACATAACAAGTTTATTTTTTTATTTAAGAACTTAAGTAAAAGTACAACATATTTTTCATTCGAAAATATTTGGTCAACGAATATCTCAAATAATGATAAAGAGACGTGATGTGATATAATGTAATTTATATGAGTTTGCGATAATAAAAATGGAACAAATAACACAGGGGTATTTAAACAAACTATTATAAGATGGAGGTAAACAATTTACATCACCCAATACCATTATCATACAATACATCCGTTACGTGTTACATGTCGTTGCTTCTGTCTGTATTTGATTTTATTCTAGGTCTGGACGTGTCCAAACTGCACACATGAATTTAACACGGGGTATTTGTAAATAAGTGCGAAATATTTTAGGGGGTGGTATGTTATTCCGAGATACAGTGTTTAAATTATAATTATTTATTTATTTTTATTAATTATTTCAGTTTTAAAGATATTGACTCGAAATTTGAAAGACGCTTTGGAGGGACAAATGGGCATTATTTGGGGTGATCCGAATATTTCTACTTGCACCAGTGGCTTTCGTTCCACAACCATTTTTAATACAAAAAATGGTACGCCACTGACTTTCCCGTTTTGATTTTATTTTGGAAATCCACCATCAATTCTGAATGAAATTGGTCACTTCATTTTTTATCGTAGGATGCTCCATTTTTGAGGAAAAAATAAAACATTTTATTGTAGGTTTTGTTAATCTTTTATTATGGTCAAAGAAAAATGCAATTCAACATTGAAAATAAAAAGTTGATACGAATGTGGGTAAAAAATTCTTCGATTTCGAGATACAGGATGTTCAAAACTGAAATAATTTATATGAACTTTTTTTCACAAAATAACTTCATCTGCCCAGTAAAATAAAAAACGAATATTTTAAAATATATACCCTGTATATTGCAATAATTGAATGTGTGGTTTGTAATATTCAAATATTTCCAGAAAAAAAAATTAATTAAAATAAATAGGTATTATTACTGTAACTAACAATGCCTCCAATTTAATAAATCTAAAATTTACACCAGAAATATTGTGTAACCTTGACGGTAATAATAAATATTTCGATGGCTTTATGATGTTACTAAACAAACAGCGGTAAACACTTGTGATTATACATCTTTGATTATACTTCATTACTGTAACAATTTTTATTTTCATATCCGTGACGTGACGCGTATGACATCGATTGTTCTACAATTTTCAAGGTGTCGGAACAATAAAAACTGCACAGAGAATAAATCTTTAAATACTTTATAATACGAGCTCGCACCATACATGATGTTTTTTTAAGGAGGTTTATCTGATTTGGAATTGACAAACAAATATTCATAAAAAAAAAATAATATAAGCTTATTAATATGAAGAAAATCCTCAAAAAAAAATATGACTAGTTTGGATACCTAATAGACGAGCTATTAATAAAATAATTTTTCACGATTTAGTACGAAGTCTTATGAGAATGCAGATTTTTTTGGTCTTTCCACTTAGAATGCTCAACAATTGACGAACAGTTTCCACAGCAACTTGTATAAATAGGAAACCGATATCTAAGGACCGTATGATAGCTCGTAGAAATCGATTAGGTACTTGTAAGATAAATAATTTATAACAATTCTCCTTCAAACTGCTGTCGTTGACTAACTTATCCTCCATATGCATGATAGTGACAACGCCTCGGTCTCGACGTAGCGTATCATTTTTTGATATTTGCAGGTATTCAAACAAACAGAATGATCGAACGCGAGCGAGCGAGCGCCGAGGTGAGCGAGCCAGCCAAGTGCAACGTTGACAAATCTAAAAGCTTACTAGGTACTTTAGTCACTAGCGAATCTACAGAAACTCTCGTTAGACTTTAGATGTACCTCCGTACCCGATAAACCTTAAGTTTTTTTTTTATTGAACATGAATTCAATAAATTAGAAACACCTGGAGAATCTTGAAAGATAAAAAGAGTAATATGTAAATTATTAAAATAGATTAATTAGTTATCCTTCTCACTAAACATTTATTCTCAGAATTCTCGATTTTAAGATACATAATATATTTCAAAAAATTGTCATATTTTTCTGATTGTTTTGTCATTTTTGATCTCACATTGTAAGCGACATATTTACAAAGTGCTATTGTATACCATAAAGGCGGAAATACACATACCAGTAAAATAGGTAAGTAACTTGCATACTAAGAAATGGCATATGCCGGCGGATGGCACACTGCTGATACATTTGCAAGTAAAATGGAATGCCTCGTTAGTATTATGGCTTATTGGCATATCAGTAGGTAGCAAGTAGACACGTTCCGACATGCCACTTGAACTCCCCCGAAACCCCCCGCCTCACATTGCATGCCAAAAAATCAAATGATGTGCAATTTACTTGCGCGCCTTCTACAGGCATGCCTTTTAATAAATACACATACCAGGAGCTATCTCCTGCAAGCTACTTGCATGCTATTGTGCAAGCAAGAGACATGTGTATTTCCGCCTTAATGGTGAAAGATATGCAAAAAAGTCGAAGATAATTTTCGTTCAAAACACGCAAATTTAATTTTTGAACGTTAATGTCATTTTATTAGCTTGTTCAGAAACTAAACATTTTTTTTAAACAGGAGCATAGGTTTCCATGAAACAATGAAATTACTTCTTTTGTTACACCCTGTATATGCTATATTAATTAATTATTTATATAAGGTTACATTATTACGGCAATAAAATATAAAACCTTGTCCTGTATCTTAATATATGAAGAAATATACATTACAAGTTTTCATAATATATTTCCTTTTTATTTATCCACTTCTTAATTTTTCCGTTGGTAAATTATAATTCCAGCAAGATAAACTAACAATTTTAATCACAAACTCATGGTCAATTCCTGTTTTAGACTATAAAGTACAGGCTTCTGTGCAATTAAGTACTTCCCATATGCTAGATGTTTCCCGTACCGACTAGTCGGTTCGCAATGATTCGAAACTTTTCGGGTCGATTTTCTCCAATGATATATAAGCCGAAGCCGCTCGGCGGGAGATCAGAGTATTTGAATACTGCGAGAGAATCAACAAGCGAATAAAGCGAAAGCGAACCAAAGCGATTTAATTATTAATCGAAGGATTATAAAGTTTTAAGTGAAGACAGTTCAGTGAAAAACGACAAAATGGTGAAAGCTCCAGCAGTTGGAATTGACTTGGGAACTACCTACTCCTGTGTCGGAGTGTGGCAGCACGGAAAGGTGGAAATCATCGCCAACGACCAAGGCAACAGAACGACACCCAGCTATGTTGCATTCACGGACACGGAGCGTCTGCTCGGGGACGCCGCTAAGAACCAGGTGGCGATGAATCCCAGCAACACCGTCTTCGACGCCAAGAGGCTCATCGGCCGCAAGTACGACGACCCGAAAATCCAGCAAGATTTTAAACACTGGCCCTTCAAAGTTGTCAACGATGGCGGCAAACCTAAGATCCAGGTGGAATATAAGGGCGAAATTAAGAAATTCGCTCCCGAAGAGATCAGTTCCATGGTGTTGACCAAGATGAAAGAAATCGCCGAGGCCTACTTGGGTACGGATGTTAAAGACGCCGTCATCACCGTGCCGGCCTACTTCAACGATTCGCAGAGGCAAGCTACGAAAGATGCAGGTGCCATTGCGGGCCTTAACGTATTGAGAATTATCAACGAACCCACTGCGGCAGCCTTGGCATACGGTCTAGACAAAAACCTGAAGGGAGAGAAGAACGTACTCATATTCGACTTGGGTGGTGGTACCTTTGATGTGTCTATCCTAACTATCGATGAAGGATCCCTATTCGAAGTGAAAGCCACGGCTGGCGACACTCATTTGGGTGGAGAGGATTTCGACAACAGAATGGTGAATCATTTTGCTGATGAATTCAAACGTAAATTCAAGAAAGACATGAGGAGCAATCCTAGAGCATTGAGAAGACTGAGGACGGCAGCCGAGAGAGCGAAACGTACACTTTCTTCAAGCACGGAGGCTACAGTGGAAATCGACGCTCTCTTCGAAGGAATTGATTTCTACACGAAGATCAGTAGAGCCAGATTCGAAGAACTTTGCTCCGATCTATTCAGGGGTACCCTCCAACCAGTCGAGAAAGCTTTAAATGATGCCAAAATGGACAAGGGGCAGATCCACGATGTGGTCCTAGTGGGAGGTTCCACTCGTATCCCCAAAATCCAACAACTCCTGCAGAACTTCTTCAACGGCAAGTCTCTGAATCTTTCCATCAACCCAGACGAAGCTGTAGCCTACGGTGCAGCTGTCCAAGCGGCAGTATTAACTGGCTCGACGGACTCGAAGATCCAAGATGTTTTACTGGTTGACGTCGCCCCACTTTCACTGGGTATCGAAACGGCTGGTGGCGTTATGACGAAAATCATCGAACGCAACTCTAGAATTCCATGTAAGCAGACGCAAACCTTCACCACTTACGCTGACAACCAGCCAGCAGTCACCATCCAAGTATTCGAGGGAGAGAGAGCGATGACGAAGGATAACAACCTCCTGGGCACTTTCGACTTGACGGGCATCCCTCCCGCACCTCGAGGCGTTCCAAAAATCGAAGTTACCTTTGACATGGATGCTAACGGCATCTTGAACGTCTCGGCGAAGGACACCAGCTCCGGCAACCAGAGGAACATAACCATCAAGAACGACAAAGGTCGGTTATCGCAGAAAGACATCGACCGGATGGTGGAAGAAGCTGAATGATACAAAGACGAAGATGAAAAGCAAAGACGGAAAGTTACAGCTCGAAATCAACTCGAGGCGTACATTTTCCAACTTAAACAAGCTGTCCAGGACTGCGGAGACAAACTGAGCTCGGAAGATAAGGGCACGGTGGAAAGGGAATGTGAAACGGCCCTTGAGTGGTTGGACAACAACAGTTTGGCCGAGAAGGAGGAATTTGAGGACAGACGGAAAGAACTGACGCGTATCTGCAGTCCTATTATGTCCAAGTTGTATATGGATGGCAATCGGTGTGGCGGAGGTGCTGCTGGTGGAATGCCGGGAGGATGTGGTCGGCAAGCGGGGGGATTTGGCAGTTCTCGAGGTCCTACGATTGAAGAAGTCGATTAGATTGTAGATTTCATGTTCCGTTACTTTTGTTTTGAGACTGTATTAATTCTGTGATAGATAGCGTTGAACCAATAAAGACTTAATTTATTTCTATACCGAATCGTTTTAATTTGCATGTTCCCAATTTTTTAAACAATTAATTCATAGAAGACGTAATTTTAAAACATTCCTGGAGAAACGATAACCTAAATGCAGAAATGGCTGCAATCTATCTATCCTGGCTATACAGGGTGTTTCAGGATTAAGTCGACAAACTTTAAGGAGATATTCCTCGTAAAAAAAATAAGAAAAAAATCGAGGATAAATTTTTTCCAGACGCTTCATTTTCGAAATATAGGCCTTCCGAAAAATCAATTTTGCCATGAAACTATGAGTTGGGAAAAGAGTGAATGCACTTTTTGTCAATAACAAACTGTTCTATCTAAAAACGGCATCATTTCTTATTTTCAGTAGGGCCGTATTAATTTTTTTTTATAATTTAATCAGTCCCGAGTCCCCAAAACTCCGCCACAGGTTGCTAACGGTACTTCTACTTCTATGGAAAAATGGTATCTTATAAGAAGATGTGTCACGCCGAATTTGGCTTAAATAGCCTTCTTTATTTAGAAGGTATTTAAAAAATTCAAATTTTTTAAAAAATATTTAACGTCCTATATTTCTAAAATGAAGCGTCTGTAAAAAAATTTATACTTGATTTTTTTCTTATTTTTTATGAGGAATATCTCCTTAAAGTTTGTCGACTTAATCCTGAAACACCCTGTATTTGTTTTTGTTTAATCTTTAAAGCGAAGTAAAAAAGTTGTAGTTTGCACAAGGCAAGTGGTGCGGAAAAATACGTTTCGAATAGTGGTCGCAGGAATGAGAAATTCCGTGTCTTGCAAATTTCTTTAATTAACGATGAAAAAAAAAAACAAAAACGGTCTGAAAGAGATTCTTTTACTGTTTGTAAAAATATAACTTACAATTCAAGATATTTTTCCAAGGTATGTCAGCGCGGTGTAAGCTTAGCAGTATACCTTTCGGGAGACAGAGTAATACCCGGCAAAGGAATACCCGTCGGTTTATCGGTATTCGGTAAAAACGTTAACTCGTACCTCCTCATCAGCTCCACAAAAAAGAGAAATATGCATTGCTTAGCCAGGACTTCGCCTAAACACCTTCGTTTACCTACAAATAAAAAAACTATTTGAAACAACGCTTTAAAAAAAGTCAAAATTCGTTTTAGTTTGTGGATCTTTAAAGAGATAGAAAGAGGACGAGACGCTTGAAAATGTTTTTTACCTAAGCCGAAGGGAATCAGCCTGTCGTGGGGTAACAATTTCTCGTTTACGTCCAAAAACCTGTCTGGCCTGAACACCTCGGGATCCCCCCAATAATCCTTGTCATTGTGGACGGAGTACGAACTAATCAAGACCGTAGCCCCCTGAAATAGAAAATCACAGTGAAATGAACAAATACAGAGAAAAATTAGTAAGTATATATATATACACAGACAAACATATCAATAAGTTTGTTTTCTCAAATTCTCTCGTGAAAACTGACTTTTTTTTTCGGTAACCTGGAAAAATACAAAAATTCCACAAATAAGAAGTGGATCTTATTTGTGGAAGGGCGAAATGGACGGTGACTATTAGACGCCTTCATTATAGCCATCTCTCTCTATAGCAAGGATTTCTATGGCTCTTTATCGCTTTCGCGTAACGGCCGATGAACCATGGAGACTTTCCGACCCTGTATATTATATTATACAAATAAAATAAGTAAAAATAATAATTGGAAAAATACATATAAGTAGAATAGTAAAGGGCAATAAGTAAATAAAGAGAAAGAAAACTCGAGTATGACACAGAAATGGATAGTCGATGCGATTTTGNAATTTAAAAAATTGCACCGCTAAAGCATTCCAAGCTTTTAAAGAGTAATTTCTTATCATTTTTGTCGATACAGGGGTGGTTTTCAGGGGTTGAAAGGGGAAAAATTATTTTATTAGCTATAAGGTAACTTTTATTTTAAATAATTGCACGATTTAATCATTCCAAATCTTTAAAAAGTAATTTTTTATCATTATTTTTTGGATAGGGGTAGTTTTTACGGGTTGAATAAAGAGTCGAAAAGATCAAATATACCATAAAACGTGTTCGAGAACATGGAACATTATTTAACCTTTGTGCTTGAACAAGATTTCTATAAAATAAAAAATGCTTAAAACTTAATTTTTTCAATGTTTTTCACTTAGGGGTAGTTTTTACCCCTAAAAAACAAAAAGCGTAAATTTTCATGCAAATCCATGGAGTTTCAAAGAATTTGTAGGTTACAGCTGATTTTCAGCTTCAATGACTGTACTAAAATAATTTTTTGTAAGCCTGACAATTTTGGATTTTTTTTCGATTTATATCAAAAACATTAACAACACCTAAAAATTCTTACCCGGGGAATGCTGTACCCTTCCAAAGTCGTATCCCGCAACACTCTCCTAGGCCCGGTAATTGGAGCCACATGATAAAACCTCTCTACTTCTAATAATACTGCTTCAACGTAAGGAATTCTATAGACAAAATAAAGTGATCGTTTTGATACAGAGGCATAAAAAATATGTATATTTTTTAAATTTTATTGAAAATGAACCTCATACCTCACTCTGTCAGTGTAACTGATTTCTTGCGATTTCTCAAAGGCTTGATCAAGACGAGCGTGCACCCTTGTCTGTACATCTGGGTGTAATATCATCGCCAAGAAGGCGAAATCCAAAGTGTTACTCGTCGTTTGGGAACCCGCAATGAAGATATCCAGACAGACCATAATCAACTGAACTTCTAAGACGAGAAACAAAAATTTGCTAAATCTTAAGAGCATTAAGGTTGCTAAAATTGTCAAAAATAAATTTCGAACAAATGAAGGGTTTTTTTTTTAATTCTAGAATGTGAATATTCAACAATGGAAAAATTTCAACACCCTGTATATGAGCTTCAAAGATAAACGTTTTTATGAGAAAATATTCTTAAATTCTTAGACGAGGAATATTTACCTGTAAACGTGCTTTTGTGCCCGTTGGTCTTCTTCATCTCTGTTATGAAAGAATAAATAAGGTCCTCGTTCGCCCCCGGGGTCCAAGTCTTCTGATGTTGCGTTACAGTTTCCATGAGAAGGTCTCTCAATTCGCAGTTCAATTTCTTTATCAAATTATATCCGGTCTTTTCGGGCGCTACCAATCGCAACCAAGGATGTTGCGTCAAAATTCCTCCCGACATATCGAAAGCCTTAGACCTCATATCCAAAAGCTCCAACAGTCGATTTAATCGGGGGTCTTTCCGGTCTATCCTGCTGCCGGTCGTTAAGGCCCATAAAATATTTATTACAGCCGGGGCTATAACTTTACCGATCCGAACGATGCTGCCATTTTCTTGTAATATACCCAACACTTCTGATATCTCCTCTTTTATAAGAATCTCCATGGGTTTTTTACCGAAACCTAAACTGCGAAGGTGAGTTACCACGAAATTTCTTTGGATCTTCCATAGCTCCCCGTCTGTACATGTTACACCTTAAAAGAATGAACAAACATAAAAAATCTTTGTTTTAAAGATAATTTTACTATGTATACCTCGTCTAGTTCCCATGGTTCGTAATCTGATGAAAAAATTGTTGGGTCTTCCGTCATATTCGTCCCCATGGAGGACGGTCCTTATGACGGGATAAGAAGATACTACTACGAAATAGTCTTTACCTAATTTCAAACCCAGTACGTTTGTTTTGTATCTTTTAGCTAGTTCCACTAGAGCCAAGTGTTGACCACCTAGAGCTCGGGATAAGTTGCGGAGCTCTGGTAAATTTCCTACGAACGGTATCCAACAGGGACCTACAAGCAAGTTTAAAAATTATTTTTAAATAAAACTTGTTCAAACTCTATCACAGCCACTTATCTCTTAGTTTTATGGACAATTTGCAGTTTGCAATTGATATTTATCCTTATTTCTTAGTTTGTTGATTCATTGACATAAATAATATGCAACCTAACCAAACTAATTTAATTTTTTTTCCAGTATAGAACCCAGCGCCATCTGTCCCAAAATAAATACACTATGATTTTAATAATCTTATGGAAACTGCAAAATTACTGTGGTTTAGAGGAAAAATTATAGACTGCGCCACCAAACCGATTTTGCGATTCTCAAAATTTGAAATTAATTTTTAATAAACTATTTTCCATTTTGTTTTCATTATGTTTAAAATTTTGCATGCAAAGCGAACTTAAAACGTTGATAAAATAATTCAAGTAAATACTTATCATCATACGAAAATGTAAAACAATAAATAACATACTAGATATTATTTCCGAATGTAAACAAAAAATATCAGTTGCATATTAAATTATTCATTGAATTGATACACAGTGGCGTATGCATATACCAAAAAGGGAGTAGCCTTACATATTTAGTAAAGTTATAAATACATTTACTTTTTGAAATTACCAGACTATTTTCTGGGAGTTTCCAAAAAAAAATTCTATAATAATTTACAGTTCCTTTGTAAATTTTGCAAGGCAGATTCAAGCTTACAGCAAACTTGCTGTCAGTGTCAGTGAAGAGATCTTTTCATAAAACTTACAATTGTATTTTTCAGTCAAATTTACAAAGGCAAAGAAAGAAGTTTTTTATTGAAAAAATAAGATAGGATTATTCTATGTCCCCTAAATAGTCGTGTACCAAATTTTAAAAAAACATCAATTCGTTATTTTTCTACTCGCCGATACACTTTAAAAAAGTGTAAATAGAAGGAAATTATTAATTGTCTAGTGTCTGTAAAATATTTGTGGTATTTTTTCATTGTGGCAAAGAGAATTAGAACTAAATATTTTAACATGGCAACCGAGTTTATAGAAAAATTGAAACCAACCTAATATGTACGTGTGGTCATAAAAGTTTCAAAATTGTGATACCCTAGAGACGATACTAAAAAAACTTCAAATGTGCTAGGTACTTATTTCATTGAAGGCTTTCCTAGAACACAACTTTACGGTATATTTCGTTATCACAATCGCACGTACAACTACCTTTAAATACAGAAGAAAAATGACCCTTCACTTACCTGGTGGGAAATTCGGTGGCTTCCTAACCTGATTTATTACATAAGTCACGAACAACACCACCGCGGCTACCAACAGTACGTAAGTCATTGTGTAACAAAAAGCACGTGGTGAATGCGCTTCTATTCGCCAGACTGTACAGGACGGGAAGTTATTTATTTAGAGCTGTCGCTCTCAGCTCGTCACCTTCTGCGAAATGCTACCCATCGCGACGTACATGCGTTTTATAAAGGGCTTTTATCGATAGAACCCAGATAATTGGTCGCCTCGCTCGTCAGCGGTAGCTTAATTGTCGCGTAATTATAGTCGAAAATTGAACTGGACGGCAAGTACAGTATTTTTTCCAAAAGCGACTAGTAAAGGTAAGTTTGTCGGTTTTGATGTCGCTGATCAGGGCCGTAATAAGAATTTTTTACTTGTACGGGAAAGCGGATTAAATAATAATCGTGAAAAACATGTAATTTAAAAATATGGGTATATTAAAACACTTTTACGTACATATCTTTTATTTTACATCATTTTTTCACCAATTCATTAATATTCAATTCTTGCGCATTGGCAAGATATTAGTTTATAAGCAGTTATTGTGAAGACATCACACGCGAAGTTTTTTTTTTAATTTACTTAATATNCTATTCGCCAGACTGTACAGGACGGGAAGCTATTTATTTAGAGCTGTCGCTCTCAGCTCGTCACCTCCTGCGAAGTGCTACCCAATACCCATCGCGACGTACATGCGTTTTATAAGGGCTTTTATCGATAGAACCCAGATAATTGGTCGCCTCGCTCGTCAGCGGGAGCTTAATTGTCGCGTAATTATTGTCGAAAATTGAACTGGACGGCAAGTACTGTATTTTTTCCAAAAGCGACTAGTAAAGGTAAGTTTGTCGGTTTTTATGTCGTTGATCAGGGCCGTAATAAAATTTTTTACTTGTACGGGAAAACGGATTAAATAATAATCGTGAAAAACATGTAATTTAAAAATATGGGTATATTAAAACACTTTTACGTACATATCTTTTATTTCACATCATTTTTTCACCAATTCATTAATATTCAATTCTTGCGCATTGGCAAGATATTAGTTTATAAGCAGTTATTGTGAAGACATCACACGCGAAGTTTTTTTTTTAATTTACTTAATATTGATAATAGAAATACTGATTACGAATAGCAGCTTTTACAATATCCTTTAATTTAAGCTGTTTATAGTTCTAAATATCTTTTACATTTATAGAACTTCCCTTTTTTCCTCATTTTGGGTGTGCAAAACTTCGATAAGGGATACTTTTTTCTATGATTATTCTTCTCTAGGAGCCAAAACAACTTTGAAAGGTTTCGGTGCTATAGTCACTCCATCGAATCCTTCCAACTGAGGATAAAAATCTTCAGCAGTTTTTACAGTAAAGTTGTGGAGAAGTGCCGTGAAGAAGAGGAATATGTTGGCTTTCCCTAGGGATTCGCCAAGACATCGTCGTTTTCCTAATAAAAAAAAACAAATAAATCGTATATATTCAATACAACCAGTAATTGCCCAGAAAAAGTTTTTTTTTTCTATTTCTTAGAACATTGTTTTAATTTTGAATCACTAAAACAATTAGTTATTAAAACGAGCTGTGTCTAGTGTCTAATTGGTTCAGAATAGGTGTACTCGTGTATTTTATCTAAAAATGTATCTTGTAAGCAGTTGAAACATATTTTTTTTATTTTATTATTGTCTGGATCTTATGTTTAGTGAAGTGAACAAACTGCCAGTCATTCATTCCTACATTCATATTGCGAATATTACAGAAATATTAACATCTGTGTGGATGCCGATAGCAGTGAAGCTGAATTAAATCAATAAACTTTCGTTATAGAATTAAGGTAATCTCAACTTTTAACCTGTACCTTGTCCGAAAGGGAAGAAATACTTTTCATTCACGACAACATCGCCGTTTCCGTCCAAAAACCTTTCGGGTCTAAACGCCATCGGGTCCTGCCAAAAACGTCTGTCCATGTGCACGCTGTATATGCTGGTCAAAACCATGGTGCCCTCTGGTACGCGATACCCGAACAATTCCGTGTTCTTGGTAGCCCGATGGGCTATGCCGAGCGGCGCGATGTTGCTACGGCGTTGGATCTCGTTCAAAACGGCCTCGGTGTATTTGAGCCTAGAAATACGCGTAGGCATGTTCAACCACAAACCAGAAGAAATAAGTAAGGAATAATTCACCTAACACGGTCGTTCAAGTTTGGGCAACGATTCCTGCCGATTTCTTGGTCCAGTTCGTTCTGCACCCGCTTCTGGACCTCTGGATACAACACCATGTACATGACGGTGAAGGCCAGGGTGTTGCTGGTCGTTTCAGCTCCGGCCATGAAGAGGTCCAGACACAGGGACATCAACTGGTCGTCTTGGTGTAGATGTAATAAAAAAAATTTCGAATGGGGAATACGGGGACGTCGCGACAAACTTTCAAGATTGAGAGGTTTCCTGAGGACTATTCAAAGATTGGCCGTGCGATAAGTTCTTCGAAAAACACTAATTTGAGGAGCATAAATTCAATCATAAACTGGTACTGTAATATTTTGTGCTCGTTCGCTGTTGTAGATCACAAAAATTAATAGGCGAGCGGTTCACCCCTAAAAAAATGCTCTGAATGAAGGTAACTGACTAAATTTTTAAACAAAAACCTATAGCATGAAACTTTTTTTATTTTATAAAGTGTATTTTTCTGATAATTTACATATTTTTTAAATATTTTTCACATTCAATTATAAATATCTCGGAAACAAAGCATTTTTCGAATTTTTGTCAAAGAACAAAAAAAAGTGTTTATTTTGGTCCATTTTCATGCCTTTTTTTAGGCGTGAACCGCTCGCCTATAAGGTGACTTACATAATAGCATTTGGACGGGTGATTGACTAATGAAAGGTTCACATCTTTTTTTTTGTAAAATGTGCCGTTCGAGGTCGAAAGTCCAAAAATCGGTTAGGGGATTTGTTAGTATGGTTGAAAATATGCCTAATTAAAAGTTTTACGCAAGTTCGCGCTTATTTGAATGAAAAATAGCCAACAAATTAGATCCGACATTTTCTTATTTATGTACTTGTTGACAAATTAGAGTAAAATAATGACTTTTATCTACGTTGTGCTGCTAACGAGCTATTAACATTGACGCTATATTCTACGAAAAAAGCTCTAAAGGCGACAAATGTTACTTTTTGTTGAAATTTCATATTAGTAGCAACTATGGGGGAATCAATTTTTATGCCCGACATTACAGGAGGTTTGAAGGTCAATCTGATTCAGAAAAAAAAAAACGTTAATCTTCTTTTTGTTGTATCGATATAATCTTTCCTGAAAGTTTGTCGCAAAGTCTTTGTAGCAACACGTACATTTTTCAAAATTTTAATGTAGGTACCTGTGAACGTGGAGTCATTGTTGATGTTCATTTTTTGTAAAAAAGCATCTATTAGGTCTCTAGGTTGCGAGAAACATACCGTTTTTCTGTGTTCGGAAATGGCTTCCTACAGGAAAAAATTGATAGTTGTCATAATTGCAATTAAAATTAAATCGAATAAAAGATTACTCTTAAACACTTTGGGCTCAGTGATGACTAAAAAATTATAGATTTATACAGATTTTCGATGATGTCAAAGCCTCTAGAATTTCACCGAAACAAGCTGTAGAAGCACTAGATTCAAATCAAGTCAATTTGTTTAAACAATGGTTCCATTTATTTTCGAACTATGAAGACTTATCTCATAAAATTATTGTTATTTAATATTTTAAGTTGCGAACCTCCAGAAACTGCCACATCCTCTCCAGGATACTCATGATCTGGTTGTAGCCGCACGCGTCGGGGGCTACATGCCTCAGGAAAGGCATCTGGTTGATGAGCCCTCCCGACATGTCGACCAGCCTAAATGCGTCGTGAATGATCTGCAACAGCCTCCTCAGCCTCTCGTCCTCTATGTCGAACCTCTGGCCCGCCATCATGGCCCACAGCACGTTCAGCACCGAGATGTCGAAGGCGGTGTGCATGAACATCGGCTCCGAACAACGTCCTCTGAAGATCTCCATGAGGCAGCGCGTCTCTTCCTGTATTTTCTCCTCCATCTCCTTCCTGCCGAAGCCGAAGTTGCGCAGGTGTTGCAGGGAGAACTTCCTCTGCTTCCGCCAGAACTGGCCGTCGGAAAAGACGATGCCTGATGGAAAATAGAAGAGAAAAGTCAAATTTTAAATAAATGTACCTACATGATTTTTTTTTAAACTGTAAGACCTTAAAAACAGCGAAATATTCATGAGATGTATAGGTCTCTAAAAAAGAAATCGATAAGTAAGAGTGAATCGTCTTTTCGCCAAGTTTTAATTTTATTGCATGAATAACGACTGTTATTCTCTTAAAAGTCAATGACTCATCGCCATCTTTAATGTCGCCAAGCAGACAACGATAACTGGGTAGATGTAGGTCAGTTTCGTCCGAGAGACAAGGGCAAACCGGAGGAATTCTTTCACACTCGAACAAAACAACCCCGGCCGTTGAAAGTGCTGGTCCAAAAACCGGTCCATGCGGCTGCGTTTTTGGGAGGTTAACAAACGCCCAAGAATAAACGGGGGGCGTCCAAAATAATACACTCGATTCAATTTCGGTAAAAGCGAAAACCGATTTGTCAGGATTTAATAAGAAATCAGATAGATGTTCTTTTTAATATTAGATTTAGACCACACAAGATCGAAATATAGTCTCGTTTTATCTGAGGACATTTCCTATTTTGCATATTTATAAATACAATTACAAAAAATGAATCACTGTAGCATTTTGGCTACCAATTTTCTCGTGTCGAATGGATTGACGTGAAATTTGAATTGTAGCTAGGAAATAGCCCAAGAAACAAAAGTTATATAGTGCCGATGTGTGCTTTTACCCTAGGGGTGGATGCCACCCCTTATGGAGGGTGGTAATTCACGATTCGATAGAGGGACGAATTCTAAGCAAAAAATGTTCTATAAGAATTTTTTGTGCAGTCAATACTTTTTGAGTTATTTGCGTCTTAACATGTTGGTTTTGAGCCATTTTTCGCGAATATCTCAAAAGTTTTATGAAAAAAATGATCATAAGCAAAAATGAAGGTAATTAAATAGCAAAGAGATTGCTTTTTTTTATTTTTGTAGATGGTATAGAACCCGAGTTATGACTCCCAGAAGTTGAAGTCAATTTCGAAGATAGCTATAATCGAAACGTTCAACGTCCTGTAGCGGAAAAATTAAAGGTTTTTCCAGGAAAACTTATATAACACCTATTAAAGTTCTTGAAAAGACCTTTAAATTGAGTGAAGGTAGAAGTCGTTATCATAAAAACTAATGAAGTTACAATCAAAATAAAATGATTGTCTTGATTTTTGAGAAAAAAAATCGGTATTAAAATTAATGACTTGACGGAATAAATTAACTTTATTTGTGTATTTACAATAGATTCTGAGAATTTGAATCATTTTAGAAGCCTAAATTAAAAAAAAAAAATCATTTATTTTTTAATAAAATTTTTCAATTCAATCAATCAATCGCCTTTTTTTCAAAATATTTCAAAAATGTCTGTAATGTTGCAATATATCATAGATCATTTGAAAACCAGTTTATAATTGCAACATATGCACACCATTAAAACATCTCAAGCATTCAATATTTTATTTTATTATAAGGGTAGGTTTTTAAGGGATGCAACTTTCTAATGAATCGTAAGCTTTCTAATGAATAACAAAAGAAATGCAATACATTGTGAATGCACCAAAAGAATATTTTAAACTGTTAAAAACTTTTTTTCTATTTTTTTGGCCATGGAAGGTTATTAGTTTTTAAGGAATTTTAAGCGTTGAAAAGTAATTAAATTCCATAAATTATATTAAAATACATAAAAGAAACTGTATCCAACACATTTGAACATGAATTGAATCTTTAAAATACGTAAATCTGCGATTTCCGCATTTTTTTCGTACAAGGGTCATTTTCACCCCTAAATAGAAAAAATCACACATCTAGAAAATATAACTTTTGAAGTGGGGGGTCAGAAGAGCTTGTGGGAAAATATTCGGGAAAATCCATGCTATCCGAAAAAATTCGGAGCTTTTACCTTATATTTTCAGCTTCAGTGACTGGACTAATACTAACATCTTTGGAGCAGTATATAAAAGAATACACCCAAGGTGTCGAAAATAGACTTTTCAACAAACATAATAACTTTGTTCAAAAAGGTAACAGATTGTTATATCTGCAACTTCATTTGAACTTACCCAACCTTTTGCCGAATGTTCTCAATCTGAAGAAGAACCCGTCCGGTCTTCCGTCGAACTCCTCCCTGCTGAGCACTTCCTTAATAACTTCAGCGCCAAAAACCGCAACCACCAAGTGCCTGCCAAGCTTCAACCCTACTATATCTCCGTACTGCTTCGACAGTTCGGACCAGACTAGATGATGGTAACCGAGAGATTTTAGTCTGTTTCTATAGTGACCGTAGCTTCCGATAATAGGCAAAAATTTTGGACCTGCGGAATTTAAAATGTCGAATCACGTATGGCTGACACTAATTTCAAAGTATAATATTTAATTCAATCGATAATTCAGTTCTTGAACGAAAGTAGTGCGCGATTTTTAACTTGTGCCAGCTTTGTTCCAATTAAAATTTGTGTCATATTTTGCCCGATTGAAAACATATTTGTTAAAAAACTTCTTTTTATTAATCTGGCGTTAGAACTACCTAAATATATATTCACCTGAAATTTGGGACTACAGTAAAAAAAACAATGAAATATTTTTAGTTTCAAAGGTGAAACAAAAAAAAAAAATGTAAAACACTTATTTGCATTTCAAACGACTTCTCACCGGGCGGATATTTTCTGGGCTTCTTCATATCGTACACCAACAGCAGGCACACGGCCGAAATCACGATGCAGAGCAAGAAGAACATCATGATGTTATCGGAAGACTAACACAGTCGAATCTGGAGAAACCGAAACTGCCCTTTCAACCCATCCGGGCGCCTTTTTAACATCCCGCAACGCGGTAACCTTTTAACCCCACTCTATAAATAGAAAAAATACCATTTATAAGCTAAAGATCTCGAGATTCGGAATAGATAGCGACTTGTTGATAAACAATGGTGTACAAGGTGAACTAATATGTATGTCGTGCTTGGAGCGGAGTGGCGGGATTTTGTTGTTTTTCGTTATTTTCGACAAGTTCTTGAGTTGAAATAAGCGTTTCATCATCAATTTCGGTTGGAACATTCTGACATTCAACTGAGCAAGCACAGACTGCACAGCATTCCAGGTTCGATGACAAACAATTACAATTTTTCGTAGAACATTTTCAACTACATGAACAAAAATATTTTTGAAACATATCTAACGCAGTTTCTCCTTCGAAAAAAATAAAATCCAAACAACCATTTTCGATTTTCCATCCATGTGTCAATGGACTTTCAATAAAATAATTGACTTATACCAAAAAAATATATCTTAAAGTAGAAGATATGCCGATTATTATGCTTTTTTTGTTGATATTTCGATATGTTTAACAGATTTGGACCAATTTTTCCATCGTGGTATTTACAAGTTACAAACAAAATAGAACAATGTTTACGATTAATGGAATACATGCTTCGCAAATTCCTCCTGCTTGCGGAGAGCGCTTGAAAATACGCTAGACTAAAATATTTCGCGAGTGCCCTTCTCCCTAAACAGCATTTAAATAATAAAGTGGTTAATTAACGTATTAAAACTAAATTTGTGCAAACTGCAGTTTGCTCTTAATCTAATAAGTTACTAACATTTCGTGTAGTAGCGGTGATCAGGGAAACTGAACGGCACGGAAATTACAGATTTTAAATAAATGTTTCTATTCTTCTTTGACGTCGTTGTTACAGAAAAACTTGTTAATTAAGCACCTCCTCTCAGTATTTTTATTAATAAATAGAAGAAGGGCAGTGGTAAGAGATTCCAGTTGAACATCCTAGTATAAAGGGGGCTGTGAAGGCACAGTTTAGCATGTCATATTCGTTTTAGCTTCTTAATTTCTATTTAAATAATGATTTCATGCAGAAATGAAACGTCAATGGTCAATTTTTTTGTCACATTATTCATTTTCTTTTAAAATCCTGACATGGAATAAAACTAGTTTATAGCTACAACTTTCTCATTTGGCATTTTTTTTAACATCAAAAATAAGCTGCACATAACCATTTCACTTACCACATGTCCCGGATTACAGTCTGAATGATTTTTAGTCCGGCCCTGGACTAAACAACGTGTGCCGCGGTAAACTCGAACTATTGGACATCTTTCGGACGTTAAAAATTTGTATGGGAGTAAAGATACGAGAACATTTCGTGCACATTACTGAAATACTCCGCACAAACAGGAAAACACCTCTAAAAATAGGGGCATGTAGGTATTTATATTCATCTTGTTCCTATACAGGTTGTACGTCGCCAAGAAGAAGTACAGGGTGTTAAAGTTTTAATAAAATAATGCACATTTATAAATATTGTGGAAACCACTTTATTTTAATGAAATTTTACAGGTTTTGACAGTTAACAACAGTACACGTTTTACGATTAAAATATTGTTTTCAGTTTCACCAGTGGCGTGCGCACAGGTAGGTATGTCTCTAGATATTGCTAAAGATAAAAATGATACTCCACTGGTTTTTCTTAAAATAAAAATTATTTTTGAATTCCTTGTTCAATATGGAAGAGGAAAGGCGTCTCGACTGTTTTTCTTATGACGCACCGTTTTCGAATAAAAAAAATAAAATCAATTTATTGCATGGCGTAATTCGGTTTCAATAATTTGAAAAATAGAAATTATGCACTTAACTGCTTCAAACTCAAACACTCAAAGTGACAGCTATTATTAATTTTGTCAAACAATAACAAAAACGAGTGCACAGCCAACTTGCTAATTTCTGTTTAGATAGTGAATAGTGAATCTAAAAACTGATAAAATTTGTTTAGACTGATGTTGTTAACTGCGAGGAATAATAAATTTTTTGTAATCAAATTGGTACAAAAAAATAGATGAGTGCATAATTTCTGATATTTTTCACACTATTGGAACCGGATTATGCCATGCAATAAATCGATTTTATTTTTTTTACTCGAAAACGGTGTGTCATAAGAAAAACAGTCGAGATACCTTTTCTCTTTCAAATTGAACAAGGAATTGAATAGTAATTTTTATTTTAAGAAAAATCAGTAGCGTATCATTTTTTTCTTTAAAAATATCCAGACGTGCCTGTGCGCACGCCACTGGTGAAACTGAAAACAATATTTTTATCGTAAAACATGCATTGTTGTTAATTATCAAAGCATGTAAAATTTTGTTAAAATATTCTAAGCGGTTTCCGCAATATTTATAAATTTGCATTTTTTTATTAAAACTTTATCACCCTGTAGATCAGAAACTAAGGGTTTTCGGAGTATGGTATATTAAGGAAATATATCACAAATCACTTGCACCATAACCTCCTGCAAGGAATGCATCGACTTTCCAAACACCCTGTATATTTTCTTTCAGTAATAACTGATAAATAATGTACATTCATGAAATAAAGATTCTGGTATTTATTTATACTGCGTTCTAGAGGGCTCTGATGTAAAAAGTAAATGGACTGTATTAACAAAATGAAAATCGAGTTGAATCGGCACTTAGCAATTCGGTGTAGTTGTTTTTTTGATGATTTCAGGGTTTTCACAGGTATAGTCTTTCCGAAGTCTGTTGAACATGCAAAAAAACGCCTGGCAATAAAATTTTATGAGTTTCGTAGGAGTCCCTAAAAAAGTTTTCTGCTAAAGGTAAATAATAATAATAATTTGTATATAATGTGTAGAAAATTATATGTTCATTTGGCCAACAACATACTTTTAATTATTTATGTCCTCAAACAGTTTTATTATGTTGATGGTAAATTTCGTTTTGTTTTGTTTCGAAAGGTCTCCAAAATGCCATGTTGTGATATACTTTTAGGTCGAGAAATAAAAAAGTTACGGGCTGTTCACTAATTTCAAAAATCAAGTGACCTAACAAAGCCCCCTCCATATCTTTTCTTAAAAATATCACTTTCTCTTTATTTACAAACGCAAAATACTTAAAAGACTTGAATGTGGGCGAGATATTACCTCCAAAGAGTGTCAAGATCGATGGTTGCCTCTTAATTGTCATAGCTATTCAATGCCTACTACACTACATTTGCTACAAATGCAAAGTATATTATGTACTTTACGAAAGTAAAAGTCTTTAAAAATGGCTTTTTGGGTAAAAAAATATGTTTATAGAGATCTAAACAAGCAAGTGTAAGTGACAGGTACAGTTAAATTTTTTATTTACCTTTGACGTCATATCTATCAGCTTGAAACTTTTTTAGAACAAACGTATTTCTGTGAGTACCTACGACAAAAAAGAAAATGTACGAAAAAACGAAACGATTACGAGAATTCCCGAGAATTTTTTAGTCGTTGTATGCGTAAAGAAATTTTTGTTTATGCAGCTCGTAAACATAAACAGGGAGGCTCTATGCTTTTAAAGTTTTAAAAGTCAAAACTTTAAGTTTTATTTAAACAATGTCGTTACAGCGCCATCTGGTAAAAAAATCAAAAACTGACAGCTATTTAATTTTAATATCCAAGTGGGACGGTATTCGTTGACTGAAATATTTTAATATCAACCATTTTAGTTTAATTATTGTCGTCTTAAATTATATATCTGAATTATTGGATTTGGAGACTTTCTCATAATTTTCATTGAAAATAGCATTTTTCACAACAGAATCGCGATATCGCTTGTTTGCTACAAACGCCTACTATAAGACTAACCAATAGGCAACCAGATATGCAAGTATCACCACAACAGTGATTTTAAACGCTGAATTTATTTTTCTCTTGCAATGAGATTGTACGTGCGGCAAAAATAGGCAACACGTATGGTGCATAACTCAGGACTACCCTCGTAGAGAAATTGGAACTTTATCCACACTAGTTTGTTCGTCTGGTAGAAAATAAACAACGAAATAATTTGACGGTGATTTATTTCTACAAACAAGTCACTTTGATCCACATAAATTATATTTACAACCTTTCAATCGCACTGCTTAAATAAGTGTACATTTCATTCCAAAATATATTCTCAACACAAAGTTTGATATGTGAACTTGAAATTTTTAGTGTAAAATCCAAATTTCAAATGATGTTAAAATTTTCAGTCAAAACTCAAAACTTCAAGCTCAAACCTAAAATTTTGGGTTTGAATTTCCTGTTAAAATTTCGAGATTAAACTGAAAGCTTTGCGTTTCATTTGAGATGCTTTTTTTCATTCAATTCAAATTTCCAGTTGAAACTAGAATTTCAATTTTGTGTTGAAGTTTTGAGTTGGAACTCAAAATTTCATATTTCAGCTTCAAACTTCAAGTTTCAACTTGAATTTTGAGTTGGAAATCAGAATTTCCTGCTTAAACCTAAAATTTCGGGTTCGATTTCGAAATTTCTCATAAGAACTTGGGATTTTGGAGTTTAACGTTATATTTTCCATGTTTTTCTTTAAAAAATAAATTTCGAGGTTACATTTCACAATTTCAGTTTCAAATTTCAAGTTTGACCTTGAATTTTGTGTTGGAAATCAGAATTTTCTGCTTGAACCTGAAATTTCGAGCTCGTTTTCAAAATTTCTCACAAGAACTTGGAATTTTGAGCTTAACGTTACATTTTCCAGATATTCATTTAAAAAATAAATTTCGAGGTTACATTTCAAAATTGAAACTGAAACTCAACGTTGAAACTGAAAATTTCATATTTGAATTTGAAATATTGATTTGATTCTTTATTTGCCAAATTTTGGGCTCGAATTCGAGTTTTCAAACAAAATAAGAAATGTCAAATTGAAATTTTGAATTTAAATGAGAAAATTAAAATTTGAAGTTTGT